CGACTATTGACAAAAATAAGATGGAAAATGAGCCTAATAAACAACCTGAGACCGTTGAAGCTGATGAGAAGACCAATGGAAATGAGAAAGACACTAGCGAGAAAACAGTGAATGAAGACCAAGAAGGCAATTATGGAAACCCATCATCTCTCAGCTCATTCCAGCATCTCTCAAGTACTCGAAATGCTTTTACAGGACTAGCAGGAACTGGATTCTCCGGGTCAACTTTCTCATTTGGACCTGTTTCGAAAGATGGCCCCACTCTTGCTGACCAATCCTCTTTGAGTTTCGGTGGTCATTCAAATGATAACGTTTCCATCTTTGGAGGGCCTGCAGGATTCCAGCAAATGCAAGAGGTTCCTGTTCAAACAGGGGAGGAGGATGAGAAACCCGTCTTCACAGCCGATTCTGCCCTTTTTGAATTTCTTGATGGAGGTTGGAAAGAGAGGGGAAAGGGAGAAGTCAAGGTCAATGTTTCCAAAAATGAAATGAAAAAAGGAAGACTAGTTATGAGATCAAGAGGGAATTGCCGGTTGATATTGAATGCTAACCTCTACCCTGAGATGAAACTGACAAATATGGACAAAAAAGCCGTCACATTTGCCTGCATTAACAGTGCTTCTGGGTCTGGAGGGAATCTGGTTACGTTTGCTCTAAAATTTAAAGACTCTTCATTTGTTGAAGAGTTCCGGGCGGCAGTAGCGGAGCATAAGGGTTGTCCCGAAAAGACACCAAACTCACCTGATGCTTCTGAGGTGTAAAGGGCCCCGCTCCGCGGTTTTGATATATGCGAGTGATGATTATAACACATCCGTTTCCTCCTCTGATGCTCTTACTTTTCGTGTTTCCCTTGTTGAAGAAGCAGCGGAAGTGTTAGGCCTGTTGTGGTGGAGGGAGCAATGGCTTCTTTGATGTGAAGATTGCTAGTCTTCAACTTCAAGTACTTATATTTGAGTCTTTTTGTCGTTGATCTCATGTAGAACCAAACTGGATGATGTCACATTTATACCTCTCTTTTAGTGAAAACATTGCCCAATGCAGGAGGCTCAGGTGGGTCTATAAGTGAGTTCCACATGTTGAACGTCATTACTTTCTTACTTCTATGCAACCTCAACCAGTAGTGACTTGGGTTGGGTTGGGTTGGGTGGGGGATTTTATATGACTTGTTTTCGGTTGCCAAATTTGTTCTTTTTCAATTTTAAACTATGATGCTTGAAGGTGGTCATGGAATGTCCAAGGTTAGGGTTGGACTCGGCCGGCTGTGCAGATTTTGGTCTAGGAGCTGTTGGTCCACAAACTTAGTCATTATCCAAAAATCCACACATCAATTTTCATACTACCTCTGTCCTAAAAAACTTTGTTATTTCAAAAAATTTGAACCATGATTTTGATTAGTATAGAGTATTATGGAAGTTATAAATTTTATACTTTTATGAAAGTATTTTTAACAAAGATCATTTTCATATAATTTTTATATTATAAATAATTCTCAATAAAAACTATAATTGGTCAAAGTATTGAAAATGTAAAAGTTTTTTTGGGACAAAGGTAGTATTACATAGTTAATGAATTTCTTATAAACTATAAAAGTACAAAACATAAATAACTAGCAATAACATAGTTAATGAATTTCATATAATACTATTCATTTTTACCGATCCGGTTAACTAGCAATTAGCAAAGTGCAAATGAGTAATCAAAGTAATTAATGGTAGTATGGTATACATGTATATATAAATATAAAATTATATAAATTAATAAAATTATAATTCGGTTCGGTCCGGTACCGGTTCTCATTTTATGAGAACCGGTCATGGCATGGTTTGGAATCGGTCCGGTCTGGTTCGGGACAAAAAATTTGAGAATCGTTTGAAATCCCGTTTTCCGATCCGGTGCCATACCGATCCGATTTGGTACCATGTCGGTTCGGTTATTTTGTCCACCCCTAGTGCTAGGGGAAGCCCGGGTTTGATCTGGTTAAATGCGGGTCTGGGCTGGTTCCGGGTACTCATGGCAGTCCGGTCCTAGTCTCGAGCCGGACCCGGTCCGGTTATGTTTTATTTATCGTTTTCAAGAAAAAAATGGTTAGCCCAGGACCGAAATAGCAACTGGAATTTCCCGGTTTTGTCCCCAAATGGGTTGACTCGGATCGGATAACATGTTTGGTTAGACTATGGGTGGTCTCGGGCTTGAATTGGACTTTACAGCACCTGCTTGGACGGACTATAGGGGTCCGGTTCAAAACATTGCCAAACCCGATTTGGAACCGGGTCAGACCACCGGAGTGGGTCCACCACTATCCAAAGTCAATACGAAATGGAAAATTGTTTTGAGCTTTATTAGAACTGCTTTTAGTTTCAAAAAGTTGTCCTTTTCATGGACAAAAATGAGATCTGAGTTTACCTTGGATAAAAAAGAGACGGAGTATTGTTTTTTTTGAAAGAAAATTGTCTATATCGATATCATTAGAATCATAATTGTTACATTAATTTCAAAGTGAAAAAAATTGTCTACAACCTCTATCTTCCAATTACTACTATTAACCCTACGATTAGACATAGAGACAATCACTTCTGAAGGAGCAATATGAATCGCTAACCACCAGATGAGCTTAGTGCAACTATTGCTGAACAAATAGATTCGTCCCCCTCTAACAAGATCAAATATAGCCCCTCAGTCAACATAATAAACCTAAAACCATGAACTATAACCAACTGCAACGAAGTTCATAATTAACAAATTAAAAATGGGAAAAACAAAATTCAGAAAAGATAAACAAATAGAGCAGCTGAATCCATCCTTCAAGCGTCGTGTTCCAATCCCTAGCCTAGTTCCCAGTTCCTCCATTGCGGCGGTTCAGGAGGGGTAATCTTCATCACTTCATCTTCTTCCTTCATCACCTTGATATGCCCATGAGTCGCCTCCATCTCTCTCTTGGCCAAAATACTGCACGAACACAGCCAGTCCAAAAGCGAACAGCCTCCACATCCCTATCATCTGAATAGCCTGCTTCTTCACCATGTTTGCCCTACTGTTCACCGGCAAAAAAATTCCACTGCTAGGTTCACCTGCATACCCTCCAGAGATTGCCTTCCTGCTTCGACCACCGTCACCTTCCTGCTCAAGAAGATCAGCGCTTGTTGGAGATGCCCTAGCAAATCGACCGCCCTTCCCACGATGAAGCCTGGTCAACCTCTTCCCTCGTATGCTTTCAACTTGCTGAGCGATGGAAACCACCGATCCCAAAACCTTCGGAGACTAGAAACCCTAGCTGCGCCTCTCCGCTTTGTATTAAAATCACAATTGTTATTATTACACAGAGTACTACATAAATAGACCAAGTATCGTTAAATGGACATAAAGGCTCTTCCATATTTCAGCCCGTCCACCGTACAACCGGCTGTACGATGAGCATCGTACAACTGGTGGCATTTTTGTAATATAATATGAAAATCACGATTTCTGCTATGTGAGCATTAGTGTAATGTTAATGAGCAATAGTCCAATTTTAATGAGTATTAATAAAGTAATAATGAGCACCGTGTTATTATTACGAGAAAGCTGACATCGCAACTAAAAAACAGTGGCATTTTTGGTAATTTAAGTAAAATTCGTGGCTTTCACTAAATAAGCATTAATGCATGTGTAATGAGCATCCGATCTATTTTATTGAGTATTAAGAGTCTAATAATGAGCACTGTAATCTTTGATTTATATCTTGTAATTCACTTTCTTTTTCTTACTTTTAAAAATATCTACAATGAAATATGTATGAATATGCCATTTTAAATTGAGCATTGCATCAATATCAAATGAGCATTCATAACTTATGAAATGAGCAACAAGAATTCAAAAAGCTCATTTAAAATCAACACTATGCTCAGATTTTCATTTGTGTATGCTCATTTGATTTTTCCAATGTGTTCAAATATTCAGTTAGGTATGCTCAATTCTTTTAATCTTTATGCACATTTATTGTAGACACTATACTCATTTTCAATATAACATAAAACTTATGTTAGTAATTAATAAGCTGAAAATATTAACACATAGTGTTAAATTATAATACTACCTCTGTCCCATAAAAATTCTTCACACTTTGACTTGGCACGGAGATTAAGAAAGTGAAATAAAGTGGAAATGTATGGTTGTGGTTGTGTAAGAAAAATGTGAAATGAATGTGAACGACACAAATTGTCCAAAAATGGTAAGTGGGAAGAATTTTTTGGGATAGTCCAAAAAAGAAAATGGGAAGAATTTTATAGGACGGAGGCAGTATTAAAATATAATATTAAAATACAATATTAAATTAGAAGTTGCAATTTGTCTTTTTGGATTCCATAACTAAAATACGGAGCACAATTCAAGACTTTGCTTCGATATAGCAGCGTTGGCAACTCCCAGAACTCCAGCGAGAGTTCTTTTGGTGTTCTTTCTATTCTTCCTCCAACGGAATACCAGGAGAGCAGCGAGCGAGCAGCATCCATCGGAACTTCAAGACTTGAGCGAGTGAGCAACATCAATTGGCGCTTCCAACTCCCACGACATCAATGAGCAGCACAACCGGGAACACCTTTACCATTGAAGTTGTAATTAATCGCAAAAATACCCGGTTGTACGGTGAGCAACGTACAACCGGGTGTACGGTATAATTTAACCCATTTGTCTCTTTTGTGTGCTTCACGCATTTCTCTCCATACTAGGTTCTCCCAATGTTGTTCACATCTCACTTATTCTTTCTGCTGAACTCCATCATTAGATTTCAGAATTGCGGGCTTCTGTCCAAGCTTACCTTTAATTTCTTGTCATACTTGTTCTTTCTCTTAGAAATACCTGTGCATCTTCTTCTCAATCAGTTTTAGGCTTGATAGCGTGGATAAAAAAAACAGATTTTGTTAACAAAAAAGACAGATTTTATGTAATTTCAATTATTAAGTTATAGCGAAGATCTTTTACAGAAAAAAGTTATAGAGAAGATCACCTCATGTCCTCATCTACGTATTACTTAGTTTTTGCGCATTTCTTTTCGTGCAATATCAATGGATCATTCACATTTTACACACTAATCATAACGCTATATATCTGCATAAAGTAATGCATGGAGTACTGCATGAAATCATGGCAATCCGATATGTAATTGTTCATTCATTTCTTATATATTAGTAATCAAAATGATACATATAGACTGATCATACATATTGCAATAATTTTGGCTTGGCTTGGCTTAGCCCAAAGAATATAATTGCACAACTTTATAATTTTTAACACATACATCGAATATATAACAATGTAGTGTATGAATTCATTTCCTTAGCCATGCAGCAGCCTTGATTGTATATGATCAATGTCCACCGCCAAAGCCGCCGCCTCCACCAAAGCCGCCACCGCCTCCTGCACCACCACCAAACCCGCCTCCTGCACCGCCACCAAACCCGCCTCCTGCACCACCACCTGCGCCTCCACCTGCACCGCCACCGAACCCTCCGCCAGCTCCACCTCCAGCCCCACCTCCTAATCCTCCACCACCACCGGCACCTCCACCAGCCCCTCCTCCAAGTCCACCACCACCGCCTGCTCCTCCGCCCAAGCCTCCACCAGCTCCTCCTCCTAGTCCTCCCCCGGCACCTGCACCGCCTCCAAGTCCTCCACCACCACCAGCTCCTCCACCGAGACCTCCACCAGCTCCTCCTCCTAATCCTCCACCCGCACCTGCACCACCACCAAGTCCTCCACCACCACCTGCTCCTCCGCCCAAGCCTCCACCAGCTCCTCCTCCTAGTCCTCCCCCGGCACCTGCACCGCCTCCTAGTCCTCCACCGCCACCAGCTCCTCCGCCAAGACCTCCACCAGCTCCTCCTCCTAATCCTCCACCGGCACCCGCACCTGCACCTCCTCCAAGTCCTGCGCCACCTCCTAGTCCTCCACCAGCACCTGCTCCCCCGCCTAGGCCTCCTCCAAGGCCACCTCCTGCTCCGGCTCCTCCACCTAATCCTGCACCACCAGATAGTTCATCCCCTACCGCTCCTCCTTTACCGAAACCTCCACCAGCTCCTCCACCAGCTCCACCACCAAGACCACCTCCGGCACCGCCGCCTGCACCTCCTCCAAAGCCTCCACCAGCACCAGCACCTCCCCCTAGTCCTCCTCCACCTCCTGCTCCACCACCCCCTCCTGCCCCACCACCAAGTCCACCTCCAATGCCGCCTCCTTTACCAAAGCCTCCACCAGCCCCACCTCCGGCTCCTCCACCTAATCCACCTCCACCTCCCAAACCTCCACCACCGCCTGCTCCACCGCCAAGTCCACCACCAATACCCCCACCTTTTCCAAATCCACCTCCGACACCTGCGCCAGCTCCTCCTCCTAGTCCACCCCCACCTCCTGCTCCACCGCCGCCACCGGCTCCACCGCCAAGTCCACCACCAACACCTCCACCTTTTCCGAATCCACCTCCGGCACCTGCACCAGCTCCTCCTCCTAGTCCACCACCACCTCCCGCTCCACCTCCGCCACCTGCTCCGCCACCAAGCCCACCTCCAGCACCTCCACCGGCACCTCCTCCAAAACCTCCACCGGCACCACCACCAGCCCCTCCTCCTAGTCCACCACCACCTCCCGCTCCACCACCACCTCCCGCTCCACCGCCACCACCTGCTCCACCACCAAGTCCACCTCCGGCACCTCCACCAGCACCTCCTCCAAATCCCCCACCGGCACCACCACCAGCCCCTCCTCCTAGTCCACCTCCACCACCACCACCGAGTCCACCACCACCACCAGCTCCACCCCCAATGCCACCTCCTTTTCCAAATCCTCCACCAGCACCGGCTCCGGCACCACCTCCAAGACCGCCCCCGGCACCTCCTCCAAGACCGCCGCCACCCCCAGCTCCGCCACCACCTCCAAGACCACCCCCAATGCCACCTCCTTTACCAAACCCACCACCGGCACCAGCACCCCCACCTGCTCCACCACCAAGTCCGCCGCCGCCTCCGAGTCCCCCACCACCACCAGCACCACCTCCTAATCCACCACCGGCACCACCTCCAATGCCTCCACCTGCTCCACCTCCGGCTCCTCCTCCCAATCCACCTCCACCACCAAGTCCACCACCACCCCCAGCTCCACCCCCACCACCAAGTCCACCCCCAATGCCACCCCCTTTACCAAATCCCCCGCCTGCACCAGCACCCCCACCAGCTCCACCTCCAAGTCCACCACCACTACCTAAACCTCCGCCAGCACCACCTCCCAAACCTCCGCCTGCCCCACCCCCAGCACCTCCTCCAAGTCCCCCGCCACCTCCTAACCCTCCGCCAGCCCCACCACCCAAACCACCGCCAGCGCCACCACCAAGGCCTCCACCAGCACCACCGCCCCCTCCAAAACCTCCACCGGCACCACCTCCTAAACCACCACCAGGACCAAACCCATGACCCAGCCCTTTCCGGCCGAAGGGTAAACCTAAGTGCGGGTGCGGGTGAGGAAGAAACTTTAGGTCATCAACCAGCGTGGCCGCCGAGACCACATTCACAAACAACAGAACCAAAAGAGAAAACCCAAAAGAACGATCAGACATCAACCTCATTTTGGTCGAACAGTACGTAGTTTCCCTTGCGGCGTACGTTCGATCTCAATGGTAGAAGATCGATCAAGAAAGCACAGAATGGATGTGATGATTATATAGACTGGTTAATATTCTAAACCAAGAAGGAAATGATCGTTGAATGTATAATGGATGGAATTGAATGGCTAGCGCGGTTAATTATAGTAGCAGATCGATGGATGGATCGGACATGCAAAAACGGAAGTGTACGTGAGTGTAATATATAGTGAAAATGGCAGTGTGGGCCCAGCTCAGCTCAACTGTCTTCCAATCAGAAGTAAATGCTTGTAGTTGTGTCGTTGGCTATAGGATTTATTTCATGCATCTGCCGGTCTCCCGTTCACACTCAGCATCGATCCATCTATAGTACCCACCCTACTATACTACCTCCATCATCACTATACTCTTACTTCTTACAAAAACCGAACAAGAAATCCCATTTTTAGTCTCTCAAATAGTTATATCAAAATGTCATACCTATGTTTTCAAGTTTGTAAATATATCTTTGATTATACAAACGATTGTAAATGCGGTCTTTTAATGGGTGAAATGTATAATGTGCAGTAGGGGAAGAGTACATTTCACCCCTCAAAAGAACACATTTATAATAATTTGGACTATTTAGGAATGACATTTACAATCCCAAAAATACAAGTCTGATATTTCAATAAAAAGACTAAAAGTGCAATTTTCCAAATTAAAATTGATCATTTAACCCTATTGATATTTCTTGGTCAAAGATGAGAAAGTTTGGGTGCAGATTTTAACTTGTATGATTGTGCGGGATTGATAAATTTTAAAACCTTATGAAAGTACCCCTCCATCCCAAATTAGTTTGTAAAGTCATTGTTCGGGTGAAATTATTTCATTGTATGCACTTAGCATGATATCAATTTTAATTACGTAGCTTTACATATATTCTAATTTTTATTTTGCATTTTTAGAGAGATTTTAATGTAGTTACTGAATACGGAGTATATAAATTTAATTATTAAAATTTAATTATTTATCAATAGGGAAGATTCAACTTTCACATTAATTGACAAACAAATGTTGACTTTGTTAATCAATTTGGGACGGAGATAGTACCTTATTTAATCTTATGAAAGTACTTTTTTTTAAATAGGGAGTAATACTTTGATATAGTTTAATTTGTACTCGGTATTAAAAAGTATATACTTCCTTCGTTCCTTTTAATTGCATCAAGTAATCATACTTTGTCCACATTGACCTATAAAAGTACCGAAATTCAATAATTTAAATATAAATAAGTGATAAAATAATAAGTGGACCGAACTAGTTAATACTGAGACCAGGGGCGGAACCAGGGCACTGGATCGGACTGGGCCGGTACAAAGAATATTTTTTTAAAAAAATTACACGAAATTTTCTACACTAAAAATATAGACATTTTTTAAATTTAGGCTGGGCTAGAGCCAGGGTTAACCCTCCCCTAGCTACGCCCCTGACCGAGACGTACGTACCATCAAAATTTTATGAATATATCATAAAATTCATCGAAAAAGTATGATTAGTCAAATTTGATCATCATTAACTAAAAATGTCAATACATATACTTTGTACTATATAGTTTTCGTATATAATTAAGTTTTTTCAGAGAAACTCGGTTAGTAATGTGCGTAGTAGATGTCATTTTTTATTTTTCATATACAAGCTTAACATTGCACTATTTATTTTAGAGATATTACCCGAAAGAACTAAAGTAGTTTGAAAATTCCAAAATAGGATTGTCATGTTTTTATTCCCAAAATAGGACTAATTATCGCTATGTTTTGGCAGTACCAGACTTCAAACATGTCAATATTTTCTAAACATGGCAGTAATTAGTCATATTTTGGGAATAAAAAACATGACAGTCCTATTTTAAAATTTTGAAACTGCTTTAGTCATATTTCGAAAACTTTCCCTTTATTTTAAGATATGTAATCACGTTTTTTATATGGAGTGGATTTTAGAATGACTATATGTGATCGGATATAATATACAGACTATATAGTATTCCTCAGTCCCAATTTGATTTGCAAAATTTCCTATTTTTGTTGTCCCAAAATGTTTTTCCACTTTCTATTTTACGTATGTAAATAAGAATAAAGTGACAAATTTACCGTACTTTTACTTTTTTCCCATTAACGTAAAATCATCTACTTTTAGAAAAATGGACAAAAATGTAAAAAGCAATCATCATTTATTGTCATCCATTAATCCTTATGTCGATCAAAGTTTGCCTTTCAATTCGGGACGGAGGGAGTAGCAATTAAAGAGACATTGATGATACACTAGTATATACAGTACAAAAATGATGTTTGTACACACTCTTATACACACTTTTGTACACACCTATGTCTGTGAAAGCTTTTTTTTTGTCTGTGAACATCGATTCATAGACAATGTTTTGCACAAACAAAATATTGTCTGTGAACCGGATTCACAGACAAAAAAAAGTTTCACAAACATGATGTGTATAAGATGTGTACAAGGGTGCGTACATCAAGCATGGTTGTATACGGTATATGTGAGAGTAACAATTTCATTGGCAACAAAGGATGTGCCATCTGTTTTTGTGTATTACTGTATGTCCACTTTAGTAATTAATTAATTTCCATCGTGAAAAACTTCAAAACCATACAAGTGTTTAATTTCTACCATTTAATTAATGAGTGACAGATAGTTTCATTTCTACGTTGACCACTCCAATGAATTTTATAAGCAGAGTGCAGATTACATGAATTGGGGCATGGAAAGCGTGCCAGGTAGTTTCATTGCTACTTCCACCATCCGAATGAATTAATTTAATATATAGTCTATCTACTTTTATTGTAAAGTATTATTATACCATAATAGTGGACAATTATTTTTATATTGTCTAGTGAAGTTTCCAAAAATATATGAATTTGATTACTAGGAAGGGTTCATTATAAAATGATAATAATAATACCTTAAAGATAAAATGGTACCATAGAATATTATACTAGTAATTGAATAATTTGAACATAAAAACAAATAATATAATCATGATTTTGACCTATTAAATGCATCATAGGCACTTGTTAAAAAAATGCATCATAGGCACAGGCCGGCGCCGCACAGTCCCATAAGGGGAGGACGACCAGAGCACTCAGCCGCACAGAGTCGATACATATACTTCTTCCCGGTTTGACTTGACACGCTTATTAAAAAAGTGGAATAAAGTGGAAATGTATGATTGTGGTTGTGTAAGAAAAAAGTAAAATGAATGTGAGCCACACAAATTGTCCAAAGTGGGAAAGCGAGAAGTATTTTTGGGAACAACCCAAAAAGGAAAGTGAGAAGTATTTTTGGGAACGGAGGGAGTAATATTTTAGACATGAAATTTTTTATCATCAACGTAATTAAGACATTTTTTTTTTGATTTGGCGTGTGCCTAAGCCTAAGTAAACGCCCTAGATCCTTAGTAACCTCATTTTTTAAATGGGTACCCTAACACTCATCTATTTTAAAGCTATACTAATAGAAATTACTTATATTAATATATCTTTTAATGCTCTGCGTTGTACATTTATCCAAGTATCTTGCATTTCTAATTTATACGTACGGTCACAAAATTTCATCTAATTAAGATATATATTACCACCCGTTTTGGACTTGATTTGATGTGGCACATTTAGTGGGGTTGTTTTCAAAAATATCATTACAATAAAACTTATTTATACAAATATGATTAATAATTATTAGAATATAGTTCGTGTCATAGTCATTTAAATTAACAAGTTAAACATTAGTTAGATTAAGTTATTACAGCAATAGATACTAGTCATATTTTTGTAAATAATATAATCTTTATTTTAATTATAAATTATAAATATGTAATTATTTCCTTTTAGTGCATGCTCTTAGATCTTATATCCAATTCATTAAAACGATTCTCACCTTTAATTTCATAATAAAACTTCTTTTAATTATTTATAAACATATACATATATTTGATCTACTCCGTAATATATATAGTTTGTATCAATTCAAATAAAAAACATGCTTAAGTGCTACTTATAGTCACTTATATTGCACTTGTGGTGGGAACTACTATACTTTAAGTGCTAGAAACATTTTTTTTTGGTGAAAATATGGGATGCCAATTTTGTAAATATGTGATTTTTATAAATTTGAAAAAGTGCACTCCTTAGAAAAGAAAAGTATACCACAGTGGTGGGAAAATGAATAATTCACATTTAGGAGGTTAAGCCTCACATTAAAATACTAAATGAGAACGTGATCTAATTAAAGAGAATTGAAAATAATTCTAGAGCACCAAATTCGAGTATTGTGCATGATTTGAAACAGACATGTCGAGTAACATAAATTAGACGATGTACATTTGAGTTGTGCATTATTTTAATTACAAATGTAAATATTTGAACTACTCATTATTTCAACCATAAATGTGTATCTCCGTGAGTCATAATGTACATCGTTTTGGATCATTCTCATTTCTCATGAGAAAAAGTATTTCTCATCATAAATTAGACCACACACATATAAAATGATTTCATGAACTAGGGATGTGATGGATAGTGTACCCGGGGGTAGTTTATCCGAGGAATATTATAAGAAAATCAAGAGAGAGGTCAGAGCAAGTAAGAGAGAGAGACTGAGTATATACTCGATATATCAGTTGTGTTGTTGTTATTACAATGGAAAATGGCTGCTATTTATAACAGCCATAAATGCTAGGGGCAATAATCGAAAGGACACGTGTCAAGCAGCCAACGGACGGGGGGGTCAAATCAATCAGGGATGCGCCAACATGTGTATGTGGCCGCATTCAATGTGGTGGTTTGGGTGTGACGTTGCATTTAATGAGGTGATTCAGCGCATGTAGGGAGGAGATCCTGTCGAGGAAAGCGCCTTCGACTGTGCGTACTAGAGCCTTTGTGTGCCGAAGGGTACATAGCCGGGGGCATCATGCCCCGAAGGCTGTAAATGCCGAAGGCTCACATTTCTAGCCTTGTTCCCCAGCGATATCTCTGGACCAGATTAAACCATTTGTTGAGTATAGAGCCTTCGGGTCTGGGGCCGAAGGCATACCTTGCGTAGTATGGGCTGCCCGGAGTCTTATTTGCCGTGCTTGGGCCAACTTGGACCTGTTGAGTCTGACCGTAATATTGGAAGTATGTGGGCCGGGGGTTCCTGACCCATATAC